GTCCATAAAGAATTTCTACAGGTCAATTTCCACTGCTCGCACCAAATCATTTTAAATTTTCTATTATTTGTCAGGTCATGTAGCCGACCTTGTCGGGTTTCTGACCTGCGCCCCATTCACTTATCTGGAACACTGACTTTATTTTGTACTGGATAAATTAATACACGATTCAACTGAATGTTGCTACACCATTCACTGATGCCATTGTCCTTGTAGTTCTGTTAGTCATGTAAAGTGTTTACATTTACAATGGCATAAAATAGATCAAAATCTACAGACGTGACAAACCTTTAGTGAACTTCTGCTTCTGAAGAGCAAACCACTCCCCCTCCCCTCACCCCTGGGATGATGGATACAAGTAGTTGGTAAAGTATGTAACTGTTGATTGAGCAGGGTTTGCATTTATTGAAAGGCACCATACATGTAAATTTAATCAGCTGGTCAGGCAAAGTACAGGCAAACCTCTTTGTTAATTATTGCAGACATCCCCATGACATTACAGACCATAGTTTGTGAATTACAAGCACTTCGCTTTGTCCCTCTTATCACACAGCTGCTCAGCCCCATTCCTTTGTTGTCTGTTATTAAGGATATTCAACTGTACGTGGCTCAAAAATAATGTGGATTTCAGTTGAAGGACTTGGCTCACTTGGCAGTCACTGTTTGAGAATTTAGAAAGGAAGAACAAGACTGTGTAAACATGCATGCAGTACATGCCCGTGCCTGTACAGTAGTCGTGTCTTACAGTATAATGCACAATTTTTGTCCTCAGACATCCCACAAGAAGACATTCTTTTACCTGGAACAGCTGATTTTAAAACACAATGCACATCAGAAAACTGTCAAAGTTAAGCAAGAATCAGGTAAGCTGTATTTTAAATTTAGTAATCATGAATTTATTTTTTGTTTACCTTTTAGTTTTTTTTTCTGAACGGATAACCACAGCCATTTGAATGGCATCCTATTGGTCTTGAATGGATGACAAACAGCAATCAAACAGTTTTTGCCATTCAAATAGATACCTGTTAGATTACGTTTTTGTGTGTGAGGTCACAAGAGTGAAGCAGGGTGAGTTAGTGTTGAGGTGGAAGGGGTTGGAGAGGAGCATTCTCACGGGCTTATTGAAAGAAATGGCTGCTTAGGGTAAAATAATATAGAATGTGCGTGTAAAAGTACATGTACGGGTATCCAGAACATTATAGAACATTATAGAGGTTTGAAACAATTTGACCACGATAAAGGCAAAAATTACTTGTATTGGCAAGTAAAAATAATAGTTTGTATCATATACAATGTACATGCATGTATCATCTGTGTTATGTCAAGTATTTAAACATCCATTAACTCTCTAAATATATTATGTTTACAAATTAGATGGCGTGGACTTTTTCTATGCATCCAGAGCTGATGCACGTAAGTTTGTGGAGTTTCTGCAGTCTGTTGTGCCTTGCAGGTAAATTGTGATTCATTTGTGGGATACAATTTAGACTGTACATGCAGTAGTTACACTGTATGTACAAATTATGCAAATAATGATGTCCAGAACACAACAGAACAACCTGCGATGAACTAACATCCCATCTGGGGGAGGTATTAACACTTCTGCTACGGAAATGAGAGTTGAAGTGCCCAAAGCTATACATGTATGTAAACCAGTAATGCAAGAGGAAGGGCTGTGCTCTAGAAACGCCTGGGTACTACAGCCAACTAACTTTTGCCTTTGGGCGACTAACTTTTGCCTTTAGGCAACTGGAAAACTAACTTTTTTCTATAAGTTTAATTGCTGGGCACCCAGAATTTCATGGCTAGGAACCTTTGGGCTCCTCATAATTTGTCTTGGACTACAGCATTGAAGATGCTTTACTTTTATTATACGAGTCTCCATTTGGAGAAGTTCAGCAGTAACAAAATTATGAATGTTTAAGATATAACACACCTACATTTGTATTGTACAGTACATTTATTGTGAATCTTGCGATCAAATAACAGTCACTGAAAACAGTCTTATTTCCTTTTTCGTTTCAGGTATAAGTCATCTGAGAAGCTGATCTCTCATGATGTGCACAACAACACTTACAACTACAAGTACACTTTCTCTGTGGAAATTGTTCCTGTCTGCAGGGTTTGTTACTATTTTTAGCTGAATCTAAAGCTGAATAGACCTTACCCGCATTCCACTTCATTACGTATGAACAATAGCACCAGAGTGAGGTTGGGGTGGACATTTTCATACATTTACTGTATTTTTGTCACCCTGACCTCGACTCGGCACTATTGTTTGTTGGAATGGGGGAAAGGTCTATTCACCCCATTTTGTGAAAATGCATGTACATGTACAGTAGGTGTCACCAAGAAGTTTTTCTCACGAGTAACTTAAGCCTGGAGTATTACTCATGACGAATGGTTTTTATGCAACTTTTTTTGAAACTAAAATAAAGCAATCTTCCAAAGAGTGTTGATCTGGGGGATGCGGGTGACCAGTAACTCAACCATAACATTATATTATGTATTGCACTGGTTTCTAACAAATTTCCTGGTAAATAATACATTGACTTTTGGCAAGTGTTTGGGACAGTGGTTTAAACACTTTCATGCATTTGTAAGCAGCTTTCCAATAACTGAAAATTATGAAAAAAATATATTTAATATGCAAATTGGTTACTTGTAAAAGGTTATTTTTGTGAAAGTTCTATCGCAGCTGTAGGTCCACTGCAGGGAGCTTATCAGAATGGTTATTTTCAACGCTGACTGTGTTGTCAATTTAAATAAAAGGTCAACATGCCCTCACTCTCAAAATGTGGTCAGTACATGTGGCTGTGGTTTATTATAGTGAAAAACAAAATCAAAACCAAGTTTAATACCTGAAATGATGCCTATTTTTCAGGAAGAGGTTATTTGTCTTCCTTTAAAAGTTTCAAGGTCCCTGGGAAACATCAGGTATGATGCATTAGTTATATACTAGTTAGTTATGCAATGCTTTTCAAGTGGTATACATCCCTTGTCACATGTATTTTCTTGGTATACACACAAGTCTTTAGGTGAGTATGTACATGTAGTCACCAAGAAAATACAAGCGACAAGTGGGATGTTCTATGGTATACCACGAGAGAGTGTTGCATAACTATTTTATACCATGCCATAGAAAATGTAGTGGCCGACACAGTCAATGCATTCTACACGTGTACACGTGGTTCATGATGGGAAGGTTGGATGTAATACCGTCAAATATACAATGGCCTTCCTGTATTCTGATTGGCTGTATTTTCTGTGGCATGGTGTAAAATAATGTAGACTGCATCTCTAGGGAAGCTAATTCATCATCATCATCATCATCATCATCATCATCATCATCATTATTACGATGTTTTCATGCATTTTGACTCTAGATAGTTTTAATGCACAATTTAGTAATTATTTTCAATAGCGAAGCCTGTGCTTCTGACAATTGACTTTAGTGGCTTTTTGTTTCCTAGTCAAATTGTCATGTGTACCCGTGTGAACACCAACCTACAGTTAATGGATCCAGCAACATTACGAAGTAAGTTTGAACTATCATAACTATTAACTTCCTCTACGCTTGTTGTTGACCTACACCTCAGCTTGGTCAGCATCTATGTGTATTAATTAACGGTGTTTAGAAGTAAAATTCCAAAACAATAATCCATAGTCCCTAGTCTATGTGCTCCTTAGCTGTTTTCAGTGGGCTTCTCTTCATAAGGGAAGGCACTAGTTTCCAAACTAACTGTTGTGCTGCGGGAAAGGGAAATATTTAAGTTGCTTTTGATAAGGGCTAACACTCAAAACTTCATCTTCATTCACTCATGTTATGGCGGGTAAGTTAAGGCCTGGTGCATGCTACTGGTGTACACGAGTATGACATCGTGCGTAATTGCACAAATTCGCTCATCAGAGAAAGGCACTTTAGTAGGGACAATAATTACTGTATTGCAAAATAAATGTTTGTTATAAAGAAGTTCCCTCCAGTCGGGAACAATACCATCCTGTATGAACTGATAGTGTATAGAACTTCCTCTTATACATGTACCTTGTATACCGGCTCGTGTACTGAAGATGCAAAGAGCAAACATGATTTTGTCTTCATTTCAGTTGCAGACATCACAGCATCAAACTACTGGCGCTTGCCATTTAAAAGCCTTGGCACATACAAGCAACTTACAGAGTTTATGGTGTTACAAATTGAACCTGTTGAGTCACAGAAACCCTCTGCATCGATCAGTAATCTGAGTCAAAAGGTATTTATTTAGTACCTATTTGTGGAAGGCGTGGTGGCTTCATGGTTAGTGTGCTCGTCTCCAGATCGATTGGTCGTGGTTCGAGCCCTGGCTGGGGACACTGTGTCGTGTTTTTGGGCAAGACACTTTACCCTCACATTGCCTCACTCCACCCATTTGTATAAATGGGTACCAGCAAACTTAATGATGGGGGTAACCCTGCCATGGACTAGCATCCCATCCAGGGGGGAGTAGAAATACTCCTAGTCGCTTCATGCTACAAAACGCAGGATAAGCTCCGGCCTGATGAGCCACTTGGCTCGTATGCAGACTTTACCTTTTCAGCATTTTTTTCGGTAACTGTAATCTGCATCTCTTGTTACTATTTTTCATCTCTCTTTTAGCCATAGCTTGGGTCATTTAGAAATTAGACAGGCAAACCAAAACATTTTCATGCTGCACATCTCAAAATTGTTGTGCTTTTAAAGTAGTTTTACGCTCCACATCTCAATAGTTTATTGTCGCTATCGTAAACCCCACTGGTTCTTTTTCATCAGCTATTTCTTGTATGGTCAACTTTCCTTTGTTCATGCGCATACTTCACTCATTAATTAGATACCCCGTTCTTGCTACAAGATGCAACTGCTGTGAAATTAATTTTACAATGCCAACAATTTCTTCTTACATGTACATATATGTACTTAGTTATCAAGAATATTTTGTCACTTTTACTTTACCGATCATGGAGATCTTGTGTTGGAATCGGTGATATTATTTTTTGTTTCAGTTTAAGAAAAGCAATTGTTACATAAACGTTGCTTGTGCACTAGTTCAAAAGAAAGAATAGTGTCCTTTCCTTTAAAATAATAGTAACTGTTTGGTTGCTGTTTTCTTAGCATGTTTTGGCGGACGCGTGGGTTGCACGCATGCAGGATCTGGGAGTGAATGACTGTCAGTACCACTGTCGCACACATTTGGGTCACCTGCTGAAGACTGGTGACACAGCACTGGGGTAAGAACATACAGTGTCTACAGTCAATCTCTTTCCCGCCCCCTTTGGCTTTCTGTGATGCGCATAATGGTCAGTAAGGAAAGTCGGCTGGACTGGTACGAGTTCGTGTGTAACTTGCGTCCCAGCGTAATTAATTCCGTACCATGTGACCGGAGCGCGCAATGGGCCTATTGCAAATGTAATTGAAACTACGACAATGAAAGAATCGCATAACATGAAGATATTGCTAGACTAGATCATGTGTTGTTTAAAATCTAATAGAGCCAGGTGGAATAATTACTGTATTTAAACATTGTCTATATGACAAATTGTTTAGGTTTTATTCAGTCTAAAAGCTTTATTTAGGTGCCATTAACTTGATAAAACTCAGTTTTCAAAAGCGTTGCGCGGTGTATCTAAGCTAACCTTGGACGGTCATAAAAATCTATATTTTTCTGTTAGATTCGATTTCACCAGTTCAAATGTCAATGATGAGAACCTGAGCAGGATGAACGCTGAACGAGTCCCAGATGTGGTAAGTGCTCAAATCTTTGTTAATATTTTAAACCATTTTTGTGAGTAATACCTTGTTAGAGTGTGTATACATACATACATACATAC